CCAAGTTATGGCATATTTATGTTCTCTGCTTCTAGGAAAATATTAATAAGAACTTTTTCAGAAATGAAGCAGAAACCAGCCATGAACGGATTCACAAAAATGAACGACTTTACAACAGTTCCAAAAGAAAACAAAAGAGCCATAGCCTTCGAGAAGATTCTGATGTTCCAGAGATGCAGTTTTTGAGTGTGTTTCTTGAAACAGAGATCTCCTCTCCACGCGTTTATCAACTCGATCACCAACCTACGTGACGGCGAGAGTCGTTGGAATATCAGATATTTATGACATGAACAGATTTCAAATTGTACTTTTCGTAGCCCAATATATAAACCATAAACACCCGGATACATTTGATGATTTTTTTAATTTTCGTTCTCAGATTCACAACTATCAAACTCGCAAACGTTCCGATTTTCATATCCCCCTAGTAAAAGCTTCCCTTGCCCAAATGTCGGTTAGGTACAAAGGTGTCACCTTATGGAATGAACTAACTCCAGCCTTAAAGAATCCTACCTTGTCTCTTCTCTCATTCAAACAAGCTTTGAAAAACCATCTGATAAACGAACCTAGCTCCCTGTAGTAGTTTCATTTAGTGTTTTTCTCTTATTTTAACTCATACCAATTATTTTCATTATCATTATTGCACTGTATTTATAACTTATATTATCTTATTTCATTGTCATTAATTTGTACCGTACATTATTTGATTATCCTTATTGTATTATTTCCATTTTCTATTGTATTATTTCCATTTATTGATTATATTTAATTTTGTATAGTTTAGAGGAGGAGGGCCTTGTTCCATGCTTCTGCCCTCCTTCTGCACCTGTTTTATCCTTGTTTTGTATTATTATTGTCTATTTTGTTTATGTGCAAACTAATAAAATAAAAAAAATCAAATCAATATCAGGAAAATGGTGAATTGTATTAAAGTGTTCGGTTTGCTGACGTTCTTGTCTTATTATTCTGCAGTCCGAATGTGTGCGGCTCGCGGTTCCAGTCGTACTGCTGCCCCGGCTGGAGAACGCTGCCCAGCGGGAACCAGTGCATAGTCCGTGAGTATCCATCCGCCTTCTCTCAGTGCATCTCTAGATCTCTAGTCACATGCATGCAATCGTTTGTTTAACAGTACGGGCTTACACAGTTTCTGGATAGTAACCTGGATAGTAGCCTCTACCAGGCTTCGGGAGGCGACTAGAAAGAATAAAAAATTGGCCAAAATAGAGAGATAACACGTTACGTAAAATTCCACAGGAGTTGGTCCTGTAGAGACTACAGTTTGTCGGCCAATTTCTACTCTTTCCAGTCGCCTCCCGAAGCTTGCTAGAGGCTAACTGGATACTGATAGTGTGTGGTTAGTGTTTTGTATTCTCCCTGAATGCCTCGTCAACGTATGTTGACCCTCGCAAGCAGTCGTAATACAGTCCGAATTCACCTAGACATAATTTGACATGAACGTTATCCTCAAAATGTTGTAGACAAAAGTAGCAAAATGTTGACACTTGATAGTTAGGAAACACTGTGTACATGTACCTTAGGCCACACCAATCTAATTTGTTGGTTCTCGGATTTTTTCAGAAAAAATATGAAGCGACAGGGCGAAAAAAAATAAAACAGGTCTAGCCATCCTATTATAGCCCCAAATGCTTTGATAGGAGCCATGAAGTCAACACAAAAGGCTGGGTTAAAATTTAAACAATGAATTTTGAACTTTTAATCAAACCACTGCATTGACAGATGGAAAAATTGTAGGAACTAGGAAGAAAAGGACCATCCTCAACTGTTGGGGGCAAAATATGAGTATTTTTCAGTTGATGCTGAACCAGAATTTTTTTTTTTTTTTGCAAATCAGAAAAAATTGAAGAGGCGAATCCGAGAACCAACAAATTAAATTGGTGTGGCCTAAATTTGATGGTACCTTGATTTGAAGTGTTTTATAAAGTTAGATAATACAGACAAAAATGTGATTAGTAGTTGCCCTTATATGAATTACGTTTTTAAAACAAATCCCATTGTTCCTTTCTGGTATGTCTGGCTGGTGAGAAGGACTCGCCGTTGCTAAACATGTCGACTAGAAATCACTTCAATATGTAGAGGAAGCGAGATAGGCTCACATTTCGGATGGCGTGCTAAACCAGTGCCAGCCACTTCCGATCGAAAACATAGCAGGCGATTTTGAGTGCGCCCGAGCCGCGCTCCCAGACGGCAACCCAGTTGTCGGAGTTCATTATGTTTGGTCTGTACCCTCGCCCCCTCACCAACATTCTACCGCAGAGACATTTCAGGTATTCTGTCCGCAATCGGCATAGTGGGAACGTGTTATATCTCCCCACAGCTGGTGGTATAAAAGCGTAGGATGAACTTTCCATTTTGGTTTTCCGTTTTGTCCCGCTCGAAAGAAAACATTTACGTTGGTGTCAGCTACAGATATATCTTTGAGGTTGACTTGGCGGGTGATACAACGCGGGACAGGCTAATAGTGTGAGGCTCAAAAAGGATCAAAACAGCATCATTCACATGATGTGTACATTGTGTTTTTTGTTATTTGTTTAGGATCCCCATTTTTATAAATTCCATACTATTCTTTCTGGAGTCCGAAGTGAATCGCCAACTTTCAGATAGTAATGTTTAATTCATTTTAATTCATTCAAACTTTATTCATGAACTTGGCAGTCCTTAGAATTAGACTGAATTGCGTTGATTGTACAATTTTGCCAATTATAAAAACACAGTACTGTTAATAGGCAACATATCATCAGTTAAAAGATATTGCATTACATAATCGATTAATTAAAATATGGTAAATATAGTAAAAAAAACATGGACGGCGTAATGTTTGGGCCACCGGGGCATGCCCCTAATCTTTTTCGAAAGGTGTGGTGGGTTCTTTTAAGATTGGTGGTGAGGGTGGGGTGGGGGGCTCTCCCCAAATACGGGACTTCTATTTAACGTCCTATCCAACTTCACAATTGAACTAGAGTTCCACGATCTCATACCTTCGCCAAATGATGTTAGCTTTTATGAATAACTTATATACAATGTATTAATCCCCCTGATTATGCAAATAGGATCCGCAATTGCATGAATTATATCTGTTGATCATAATCTCCACCAACAGTCTTATTTTAACAAAGAATGCCATTATAGCATTTCCTCATATATTATGCAAATGAGGTGCTTATTTGAATAAGTTATGTTAAATTATGTTCACCTTCACTAAACTTCAAACACCCCAAGTATAAAATTCCAGACAGTTACCACTATGCAATTATAACATTTTCTCATTAATTATGCAAATTAAGTCTTCATTTGCATAATCGATATCTGCCTGTGTTTCTCTCGTTGTTAATATCATATGTCGCAAGCTTGAACTTCCTATCATGGAATGCAGCTGATTAATAGAATTTCCTCATTCATTATGCAAATTACATCCATATTTGCATAATTGTAATATCATTATGTCAAGCATTACTCAAGCTACCTACATACCAAAAATCATGATGATCCATCCATCGGTTCTTGAGTTATCCTCCTTTAAACATTTGTCCTTTAAACCCCCCTGCAGTTCTAAAGCAAGCAACTAGGGGGCCAAAACCGGAAGTTCAGCTGCAGTACCATGACAAGCCGCCAGGGGGCCCAAAATCTAATCAGTTCGAGCTCTCATCAAGACCTACCCACCTACCAAATATCAAGATAATCCATCTAAGCTTTCTCGAGTTATGCTGTTGACACACAGACACACAGACAGACACACGGACACGAAAACATAACCTTCTCCAATTCTTGGCGAAGGTAATAAACTGATAGAGGTGCTCGTACGAAACGTTGCCGAGCTGTCAGTGAGCGTAGTGACAAATGTTTATTTATACATGACCATCTCTGCGGCCCCGTTTCTTCTCGTGTGGCCATATGAGTCTGACGTTTCCCTTGCACGACCCTTTTCAACTTCGCGCTCCACGTGTTTGTTATGTAACTTAAATCGTCGGATTGCTTTCCGTCTTTCATCTCAGCTATCTGTAAGAACACATGTGGGGAGGGCTACTGTTCCAGACCCAACTCCTGTACCTGTCCTGGCGGCAAGACTGGACCGGCATGTTCAGGAGGTTAGTAGCCTTTATGCACATGAAAATCATATTTTTATTTCAGTTACTTGTACCAAAGTGCTATATTATAACTTTAAAGATTTGGGGGCAATAAAATGTGATGACGTCATCCATATGGTCCAAAAATCATATTCATAACCCTTTTGTACCCAGGTATCAATATTCAGTACAACTAAAGTTCTTTCTAAATTTCTTAGTGAGAAAACGATGGAAAGTTAAAATGCCTAATTAGCCAGGGAGGACACCTTAAGGGGCATTAGGCTACAGCAAGTAATTTTTATGGATGACATCGGCGCGCGCATTAATTTCGCCTGATTTGAAAAAAAACAGAATTTTCTTGCCATCTGACAGTGGTTAACATGCCCGAAATGTGGAAAGATGCCTGTTGCCATGCCGGAAGGTGGATGGCAGATAGCTATGAAGAGAGGAGACAAGAAAAGGCTCTGATTTAATGTTTTATTTCTTACTTTGATGCAGTGATATGTGATGCTGGCTGTGTATATGTGATGTTCCCACTGAATCAAAATCATTTGTACAATGATTGAGTCAAAATTTTAAATTGTAAGAACCTTGTTTTTTTCGGCCCGCCTTGTTTTTTTCGCCCGCTCGTATTAGATTTGGAGTCTGCGGAGGATGTCATCCATAACATTTACTTGCTGTGGCCTTATGTAACATTTCGCACCAAAAAATAGAAATCTTCTTGTGATAGTAATTTACTTCAACGTTTCAACATATTTGTGCAATTATCTCACAACTCTGACATTTATAGTTGGCGCTAAAACTACCAGAATGTAAACAAACATGGCTGACAGCAGCTTTTAAACACACACGTAAGGCGACGTCATTTTTTTTCACTTCCAAGTCCTGAATGGTACTTATTTACATTGTGGTAGGGATGATTTCAACCAGAAAATATACTTTTTGTATCGTCCTTATGTTACATAATGCAGCTTTAATCCATGGAATATCAAAGCTAAATGTGGCGTCCAATGTTTGTTTTCTTCTCGCTATTTAAGTAAGCTCGAGGACCTACATAATAACCTGACCTACAGAACGTTCTAGACTCAAAGATGTGTGTGTTAACTTTATCATGATTGGCAGAGGCCATTTCCTGTAGGTTAATGCGACTTCTTACTTTCCTTTGGGCCCCCATTCACCAATTTCACACTTCCCATAATGCCTAGTAAAAGTCACGGATATGACGTAGATCACCCCCCTCCCCCTTCCTCGATGTAATATTTCCAACAAGTTCTATCGACAAACAGGTCAACTATTGTTTTGAATTATTTCTCTTGTATAAAGCGCATGCCATAATTGCATTTTTGTTGGAATTAGAGAAAATGACGTACTTTCTATCGTTCTAATATACGCATGGAGGTCCTCCATGATATACGTAATGCGACCGTGCGACTAGGAGAGTCTTCGGTAGAAGGTAGAACGATAGAAGGTACGTCATTTTCTCTAATTCCAACAAAAATGCAATTGTGGCATGCGCTTTATACTAGATAAGTAATTCAAAACAATATTGTTGACCAGTTTTTCAATAGAACTTGTTGGAAATATTACATCGAGGAAGAGGGAGGGGGTTGGCCTTACGTCATATCCGTGACCTTTACTAGGCATTATGGGAAGTGTGAAATTGGTGAATAACATCGCCGAGGTGACGGCGCTCATGGCGCTCATGGCGCCCTCATCGTGACCTTGGCGCTCTCTCCGCGCTCTGGCCAATTTCAGGTCGCCGTGAGAGCACCGTGGGAGAATTGGGGTATTAAGTAGGACGTTTTTAGCCTCTCCGTGTCAACCCAGGAGAACTCTAGGATAGCTATGATCTTTGGCCTCACATGGCAAAAAAATTCGTACCTTGAATACCTCGCCCCAAGGCTTGAAAGTCAAGGGCGTCTGGAAATGACCTCCTTTACATTGTCTTGGGCATTCGTTCAAAACTATAGTGTGGAGTACATTCCAACGAATGGAAATTGGTTCTCTTTTCTATCGATACATCAGTGTTCTCTCATTGCTTGGTGAGGAGAAGCTATGTCTTCTCCAAGTACGAGACCTTTGCCCTAAGGCCACAGCAAGTAAATTTTATGGATGACATCCTCTGCAGACTCCAAATCTAATGCGAGCGGGCGAAAAAAAAACAAGGCGGGCCAAAAAAACAAGGTTCCTACATTATAAAATTTTGACTCAATCATTGTACGAATGGCTTTTATTCGGTGGGAACATCACATATACACAGCCATCATCACATATCAGTAAGAGACAAAACATTAAATCAGAGCCTTTTCTTGTCTCCTCTCGTCATAGTTATCTGCCATCCACCTTCAGGCATGGCAACAGACATCTTGGCCCATTTTCGGCATGTTGACCACTGTCAGAAGGCAACAAAACTTTTTTCCCCCAAAATCAGGCAAAAATTAATGCGCGCGTCGATGTCATCCATAAAAATTACTTGCTGTGGCCTAATCATTTCTTTATTTACAACATCACAATCCAAACCCCGATGCTTCCAAACTCAATAAATGATATAGTTGCCGTTTCGGAATGACCTAGCTGATACAGGGTCATCGTTACTATTTTGTATGAAAAGCTAGGCATGCAGAGCTGAAACGTCTGGTGCCAGTGCTCAATGAGCGAGAACTTTCGTCAAATGGAGTGCTGCCAACATGTTATATAATACATCATTAGGAAATACTTAGGATCTGGGGATTGTGTGACACGTGTGTTACGTCTATTTTCTTATCGCGAGAAAAAAGAAGTGAAGTGGGTCACCCTCGTTCAGTACTACTAGCTTCCAGCAGTTATCTCAGACAGTAGATAAATCGTAACGTGCCCGTCAAGTGTACCGTAACATTTACGTGATGGACATCATTAGTTCCAGCTGATGACTGCCCTGTGGCAGCTGTGAGGCCTGTCCATCATATCGTCTACCAAAAGACTGTTATTTTACATATAAAAAAAAACCTATTGAATTAGTTACGTCCTACTGTTACTTAGGTATTGTTGTAAACTCTGCCGGCACTTTTAAGGCAAACCACAAACACCTTTACAGAAAGGGTCTAAAAGCTTTGTTCGGAATCAACCAATCAATAGAAAAAGCCGATGCACCCATTTCTATTAGAAACAAACTATTTGACACGTGCGTCAAACCCATTATCCTCTAAGGCTCTGAAATTTGGGGTGCGTTCAAAAATTCTCATTCCTGTCCGATCGAATCAATTCACTTGAAATTTTGTAAACAATCTCTACGTGTTCCGAGATCATCTTGTAGCATAGCAGCAAGAGCGGAATTAGGGAGATACCCCATGCGAGTGGAGGCCTCCCTGAACGCAATTAGATATTTTCTCAGACTTTGCCATAACGTGCCAGCAGACAGCTTTCAAGCAGACGCTTTCTCCTGCCAACTGGATTTAGAGAAATCTGGAGTTAAATGTTGGGCGACAGGAGTGCGTAAGTCCTTAGAAGAGTGCGGGTTTGCTTCCCTATGGCATTTTCAAACTTTACATACTACAAATACTTTCCAAATTGTTAATTCTATTGGCCAACGGTTAAAAGACATATATTTCCAAACTTTTCTAAAAGAAATGCACAATGACAACAAAGGTGGAGCTGCCAAAAATAAATTAAGATCGTATAGACTGTTTAAAACTACATACAATGAAGAAAAATACCTACATAATGAAAATGTAAAAATCAGAAATGCAGTCACAAGATTAAGGATAAGCAGTCACAAACTACAAATTGAAACTGGAAGACATACCCGCACCCCTCTGGAACAAAGGTTATGTAAATGTTGTAATCTGAATAGAATAGAGGACGAATGTCACTTTGTTATAGAATGTAGATTATATAGTAAAGAGAGAAGTGATCTGTATAGGCTTGTACAAAACCTATTTCCTTATTTCATACACTTGAGCACTGTAGAAAAATTCATATTCCTGATGCGACTTGACAAGCCTTCCATCGATAAACATATCTGTTCATTTATCTCTACCATAACTGAAAAGCGAGAAGTCGAATTTATGTAATGATAGTTAGTTTTATTTTGTATATATTTCTCCATTATGTTTTGTTTTGACCTGTACTTAGCCCAGTGTGGCAAAAATGTGCAATAAAGGTCGTCATTCATTCATAGGACTGGGCTGTGCTAGCCTCCTTCGCAGACTTGTGGGCGGCGGCGTTACGTTTTTTTCGGGGAAGGACGGTTTTGCCACCTTGGGAGGCGGAGGAGAGATTTTATCACCGGCCAATTTTTGGGCATGCCGGCAAAAACCTAGCCTCTTGTACAGGCTCCGGGCGGATGGGAATTTTGATACAGCAATAGCCGGCCTAGCCGCCTAGAGAAGGTGGGCGAAATGCAACCTTCTCTCGGTGGCTGGTTGTAGGATGGCCTGCTATCTAAAAGAACGCGTTATCAATTCTACAAAACGCTGTATCAAAATTCCCGCCCGCCCGGAGCCTACACAGGAGGCTAGCAAAAACCGCTGCTCCCCTGCATAAGTCGCCTCGCTTCCCGAAAAAAAATTACGCCGCCGACCCACAAGTCTGCGACTCGGTAGGCTAGGGCTGCGAATGGGCTGGGCTTACCTTTTCACGGGTGATCTGGAGCGAGTCACCCGTGAGCCTTTGGAACACCTTCGGTGGAATGCCCTCTGGTGTGATCGGCTCCACACAACGGGACATGTCAGTCATCTAATCAAATAAGCAACCTGGAAGATTGTGTCCATCATTATTGTTATTTTCTTACTACCCTGCTCTGCTTTATTTTGCTAAAACGCCTTATAGGAAATAATGACAATGACAATGAACTTTATTGCATGTTCACGCCCTACACGGGCCAAATGCACTTAAGTTAAATAACTTGGTAACAAGAATAGAAGAAGCAATTGTTACACTCGTATGCTATTTCTCTATCTATAGGATCTAACTACAGGATCTCATCTCTCTTTTTGAAACATGTATGAACAAATTTACATAGTTTTTCAATTATATCATAGCGC